TTTTTGTCAGGCTACTTAGAATCTCTGCTTTCTGTAGATTTGCGATACCAAAACCAAACACAGTTCCAACTAATCCTGTCTTTAAATAGATGTAACCTAAATGTTAAGATAACCACCTGTTTCGTAGAACTTGCTGGGGGCAGGACACAGCCTGAAGAAGTCAACATAGGGAACCAATTACCTCGGTGTGGATGCCTTGAACGTCTATTTCCGCTCGGGTCAGTCTACGACGCGCTGTCTGCGCTTGTGAAATGCACACATCAACAAGGAGATACACCATTTCTCTCCATAGCAGTTGTCTCTAGAAACACCTCTACTGCTCGCGACTACCTGTAAGTTTAAAATGCTGGGTGTTTTGTGTTACACTTTTAACGACGTAACGCTACGTACTGTTTCCTATTTATGTAATGACGCTGACCAACTTGGTTTAGTATAGTCGTGTGGTCCAGGCTATGTACTGAAAACGTATGTCAAAGGGACGTCTCATGTTAACACGGCTATTTAGCCATGGACATTAAAAACATCTGTTTATATTAGGCCACTAAGAAGTGTTGATTTCAGTTTGATTTTGTAGTTTATTTAAAGTTATTTTAACAGTCGTGCAGTTTGCTGTAGCCACGAAAAGTAATCAGCAAATAGACTAAGCCAGCGGCAGTGGTTTGAGCACGAATTATTTGTACGTAAATATAGTCAAATCTTGTCAAAGGATTCTTTCCAGTTTCTCAGTCATTCCTGTCATTGCAGATACAGCTTGCTACAAGAACACGGTGTTTTTATCAGACCGAATATCTGTTACTTCATGTGTCAACTTTGAATCTCTTATCTGTCTGAAATGAGCACCGGGCTCTCAAATGTAGCAGTCACACCAGAGTAGTTGTGGACAGTTATGTGGCAGATTGTTACATCTCATGTAATGTTAGACTGAGACTTGGATATAGACTCATTCACAGTGGTCTGTGTGAAATAAATAAATATACTGTCTTTTTGATCATTTAACAGATGTCAAAAATTGTAATGTTATATAATGAAACTGCTGAATGTTGGGGTGCAGCGGGCCTTGTTAGACAGTCATCGTTGCCTGTAATTACTGCAACTTAAGCTCTGTTAATTTTCTTAAATCCAGTCTGGCAACTGAAAGTATGTCACAGGGCAAAGTTCAATAAGATTGCCCAAGGTGTTTTTTTTATTACATTTAGACTTGTAGGGAGGGCAAAGTGCTACAATGGCACTTGTGCTTCTTCAACGAAAATTGTAAATGATGCACTTCTGCAGTCCCCTGCAGGTAGTGGATCGTCAGAGTATATTTGACATTCTGGGATTCACAGCTTGTATAAAAGTTAATATAGTTTTACTCTGTCAAAGTCTGATTAAAGGAGGAAGAATGTTGCATAGAATTGTATATTGTTTAGCGAATATATGTATATATTATGTTCACAGACCAGAATGAATGTGGGTGTGGCACACAGTGAGGTGAACCCAAATACTCGGGTCATGAACAGTCGAGGGATCTGGCTGACCTACGCGCTTGGTGTTGGAACACTTCACATTGTGCTCTTGAGCATTCCCTTCTTCAGCGTGCCAGTGGTGTGGACTCTAACTAATGTCATACACAACTTTGTAAGTTACATTCTCACACTGTCACTGCTGCTCACCAGGCCAAACCAAAAAACTAGGTCACAATAAAACAATTTTTTGGTAACATTTTGAATTCCTTCACAAGCTAAATGAATCTTGCATGCATGTGTAGCCAAACAGCCTGGTGTCTGTTACTGTCTGCCTTGCCTGTGCACCTGTGTGCTTTTATATTATATATATATGCTCTATTTTGGGGAGACCGTCCAGCCTGATGCGTGACCTATTATGATAATTTCCCCGCTCATTGTTACATGGCTGGCCTCAAATAAAGAAACAAAGTAGATGTGTGTGACATCATCAAGTAGTGCAAGCCCGAAGCAGTTTACAAGGATTGTGAACCAGAGCCAATGCGGAAGGCTATTACAGTAACCGCTAAGGTCAACTATAGCCTATTGTTTTCCACACAATACAACAGCAGTGTGCTTATTATGCCTTGGCTGTATGTCAGCATTTTAGCTTTATTACTCTTTCCTCTGTAAGGCAGGTTTTCCATTTAAAGCTGAATTCCTGAGTTTTGACAGAGAGGCATGTCATTGGAAATGAGTGTCATTCCCAAGATGGCTATATAGATCAAGGGCCGAAGCAACACACGCACAAAGCAGGGGCTGTGTTGTTTCTACTGGGATTCCTCTGCTTCTAGACTGCACTAAACACTCTGCAGCTCAGACATCCAGAACTCTTGCAATAACCCAGTCTTTTCTCAATAGTTTGTCTGACAAGAATAAACACAGGCTTTTGTACCACAGCCAGCAGCTTTACGGGCTGTTTTTGCACACATAAATATAGTGAAATGGTCTAACTACTCTTTTACATTCCAGTTTTCATATATTGTTTACGTTTCCACTAAAACCTACAGTATTTAATAATAATTCCAAATTCATTTTCATTGAATTTAGGAGAAAACACAAGTCACTCACTTTAATCAGTCGACTATGGCCTTGTTCTTTACGGACTGCACTACTGGCTGTGTTTTTGTCTCTACAGGGAATGTATGTGTTTATGCATGCAGTGAAAGGCACACCCTTTGAGACCCCTGACCAAGGAAAAGCCAGACTTCTTACACATTGGGAACAGCTTGACTATGGAGTGCAGTTCACTTCATCTAGAAAGTTCTTCACCATCTCCCCAATCATTCTGTATGTATTAGATACTATGATTCTGTCTTTGCATTAAAGGAATGTTTTATAGTTATAGCAAATTCTAAGTCATTCACATTGTCTAGCAGACGAGCATTTCGCTGTCATCTCTAAATATGCGTATCGTGACGACGGCATCGAGTGAAACACACATTTATACAACGCTTGTTTCTTGTGTGAGAGGGATTTTGTGGTTTATATTTAATTAATCCGTCTTTTTTGCTCCACAGATACTTCCTGGCAAGTTTCTACACAAAGTATGACACAGCGCACTTCGTCATAAACACTGCCTCACTTTTGAGCGTCCTGATTCCCAAGCTGCCACAGCTACACGGAGTGAGGCTTTTCGGCATCAACAAGTATTAAGTTCTAGTAAACGCTGTGCCTCATAGCAACATGAGTGAATCCCTATTAGTCTGTACCGCCGATGTGTGTACTAAGTCGTACGGTTTGTGTTAACGTCCCTGTCGTTGATATATCAGGTTCCAGATGAAATGTAAAAAAAACAAAACAGGAGTAGGTTTGTAGATGACAGGATGCCATGTATATTATTACTAACGTATGTGAATATAATTTAATGATGTATTTTTGGCCTGCATAGACCTGGGCTGGCCCAGGCATCAGTGAGGCTTTTGGCTGAGTATTTTTTTCTTCTTCTTTTTCTGTCTTTTGCCCTCAATTTAAATGGCAACACAAACTGTGAGTACGTTTCTAGCCACAAAGATGTCCCAAATGTATTTTTTCAAAGATGTTTACTTCCTAAGGGGAGGATCCAGTGGCTCATTGTTTATTGGTACACTCTCATTTTGTAATGGGTGTCAGACTTATGTGAAGACTGGAATCATACTCTTTATTTGCATGATGTCCTTGGTATGTGAATCCTTTCTAATTTGTAGCTCAATCAAAACAGGGCAGGCTTTTTTCATCATAGTTTTTTTTTTTTGTGTGTGTGTGAATTTCATGTATGTTTAAAGAAAACGTCTTTAAACAATTATTGTTGTCAGATTAAGTGTTTACTGAGGGAGGTCTACAGCGTCTGTGCGATAAACTTACATCCATGTAGTTGCTCTCTTTAGATTATGCATTTTTGCTATAAACAAAGCAGCTAGTCCTGCTTTGTTTGGCCATAGCTCATAGTACTATTGATATTTCTTGTTCTTGATCTAATTAAAATGTTTGCGCCCTCCAAGTGTTCCATCTCTCGCAGTTGTGCATTGTATGGTTCCCAATGATTGTAGAACATATTTTACTATGTGCCTTTGATGTGTGCTGTTAAACTGTATTGACAGTAGGCTCAGCTGTAAAGGCATTAATGCCTGCCTACGTTGGGTGTTTAACCTGTTGTCACTAAAATGGATGTAAATATGCAGTTTTACAACAGTTCCACAGGAGTAACATGAAAAAGCTTGGAAACAATCAGCAAAATACATACAATTGATCTGAAATCAACTTGTATAGCACATAGTTTGAAAACAAACTTCAGGGCTCACTTTAGAGCAGGGCAACTTCAACCTGTGGAGTTGATCTACCCCTCGTTTCTCAGCAACCATAGACAAAATTGGTCATGTGACCATTTTACTTACCCTGTGATGGACAGAGGCCCATGGCATAAGTGATAAGCACTTTTTTAAAAATGGCCATTAAATAGTCGTAATTCTTTTGTGAATTACAGACACATTTGAATCTCAGGTGTTAGTGTTTCAGGAAGTTACAGTATGAGGCTATACAGTCAGCATGAAATTAGCTCTAAATTGCTGGATGACATGTTTGGTAAAATGGCAGGGATAGAGTGATTTGAGCCAAAATATAATAATAATAATCTTTATTTGTAGAGCACTTTTCAAAAACAAGTAAAAAAAAATACCTGGGGGAAGTTGAGCCAGCTATTTTATTGTAATTGTACATTCTTCATTTTATCACCAAAATGATGTGAATTTCAGACCAGAAACTATTATGCCATGCCTCTATAAATGGGAGACAGACAGGGCTTCAACTCCTGTTGTGGACAGAGCAGTGGGAGAGCTACAGAATGGGAAGCCCATACGTCAGGTGGCACGGGACATGAAGATTGACAGGATGACTTTATACATTGATACAAAACAACTAGGACCTATATCAAAAATGTAGCTGCAATGAAATGTCAACTGTCATTTGAGTTGGCATGACATTTGACCCTTACTCCCATGTGGCTCAACTTACTCATGTGGGGCAAGTTGAGCAAAGAGACAGTTTATTTTGGATCCAAAGTGATTATTCCCAGAGACCACATCCTGAAATGTCAGTTGGAGACATTACTGCCATGTCCTCACTTTAAGTTCAGGCTCAACTCACCCTGCTCTCCCCAACATACTGAAAAACAAGGACATACGATGTCACTGTTAGTCAAGTCAATGGAAGAGGCGTACCACCTGCACTTCCAAACCGCTGCCAACAAGGAAAATTATAGCATCTCCAATCTTGATACATCAAACTTCACAAAATCTTAACAAGATAAACATTGACTGTATTAACAGTCAATGTTTATGAGAAAACAATTTTAAATGAAAACCTAGACACAAAGTAATCTCCATAAACAGATATCTGCATATGAATGCATCATCTGTTGGCAAGGGACAAGATTTTGGTATCGGAAGCGTTGTGGTTTCAGTTCGTAGTCCGAGTAGTATTGACAGATGCAGCTGCAGTGGAAGCCCTGAAACATTGGCCATCAAGTCAGGTAGGTCTGTCTGCGTGTGAACAGCATGGATGTATTATTAGAACTGGACAATGGACCCAAAGATGGCAGCCACTCAGTCCGATGAATATTTCTAGCGTGGTGCATGTAAATAAGTCTATCTGCGGGTCTGCAGTACTACAGGACACACCCTCTAAACCGTCACAGTTTGGTTAGGTTTAAGAAAACATGGCTTGGGTTGAAATAAGTCCAGTAATCCAGGAAGTTGTTACACAGGGTGTCTTGAAGTAAAGTGGGTGGGACTGGTGTAGTCTGTGAGACTGCAGGGATCCAAAATTCCTAATAGTCATGGTTGACCTTGTCTGCAGTTCAAGGTGTCCTGTCAACAGTTTTACAGTATAGTGGGCGTGCTTTCCAAGATTGCACACCCACAAACCAGCATCTTCAAAAAGAAAAACTGGGACCTCTGTTGCCTGTAGGTGGTGCATAACCAGATTCAAATCTGCAGCTTAATTCTGTTTCTGAGCTGTTTTGCATTCTATTTAAAACAAATGCTCCCTCATCTGGACCTACGCCCTAACGTACCCAAAGTTAGTCTTCAGGGTCATTGGCTCTTTAATCCTTCCAACGAGCCTGTAAGTGCGCACTGTGGTGGTTCTTATTAGTTTTCATCCACACATGTTCTCAATACAGCAAACACCACATGATTTAAAACTTTATTTAAAAATAAATGCTTATGTAAAACAGTGGTTTATTAATTTAATTACACCTGTGATAATTAGAAATCAAATTTCCAGCTCCAGGCAGCTGATGAAATTAATACATTCATTATCTACTTTCTTGTAAACTTTCCTTTTATTGTGGCTGTCAGAACCATTTAGATCCTCACACTGCTTTCCCAAGACTCCTTTGTAAACCTCAAAGTGATGGTTCAAATCTTTCTGCGAGTGGATTTTATATTTGGTCCCTAAGGCCCCGTCGGCAGACGCAGTCCCATAGAAGACACGACCTATCCGGGAGTGTACCAGCGCCATGGCACACATAACACAAGGTTCCCGGGTCACATAAAGGTCATACCCAGTGCATATGTATGGCTGAGAGCTCGCCTCTGCATCAGAAGCCTTTTGAAAGGTGTCCGAAATAGGCGACGAAAATCGGCAAGCAGGATATCTATCAAAAGAATAACATCCACCGCCCTGGCTCCGAGCCACAAGGTCAATGCAGACCATGACTGCGTGATGAAGGGGATGGTCACCTCTGCAGTCATGACCCACTGCAATGATTCTTTCCATTGCTGGGTCGACCACCACGGCCCCCGCCGCCTCCATTCCCAACTCATTCCCTTCCTTGGCAGCGGTCAAAGCAGCCATCATGTACATGTGCATCTTGGCTTTCTGAGGCGGACTGAAGAGTTCTCCTCTCAGGGCGACGGTCACCTGTTTGTCCTCATGAAAGGAGGTGGGCCAGTGTTTGCTCGCCAGCTCAAACTGGGGTCGGGTCAAGGGGGGACGTGCAGGGACCTTAACCACAAAAAGTTCACCTAATCCGTCACCGTCTTACTCCATCTGAGGGGAGCAGAGAGTTCACGCTGGCCGCCTTCATGTCTGGTGCATCACTGACGAGGCACACAAGGACTTCCAGAGGGTGAGGGCTGCCCTTCTCCTTGACCGCTCGCACCCTCTTTATGTGCTGAAGGCCCTTCAGCGGGTAGAGGTTGTGCAGCTCCCGGATAAGTCGAGATGTCTCTTTCTTGTTGACAATGGGTGCAGCAAACGCCTCTATCAGCTCAATGTCTTGTGACTGCTCATCTGACAGTACAGGATACGCAGCCCAGGAGCCAGTGTCACACTCGGACCCTTTCCAGCGTTTCGTCTGTGGCTCCATTGTTTTGTTGTTGTCCTGTGAAATATGATTTAACACCAAAGTAAAAGTCAGTGCATTTCCACGACAGAGCATGCGATGACAAAGCCTTTCAGTTGTGCTGGACAGAAACTGGTCTTTAGAATACAACCATTTTTGCTGAAAAAGACTTCTGTGCTGCTATTTTGCATTATATTTCCGAGATCAGCCGTGTCCCAACAGTCCAGGCAGATTTTCTAACTCAAAACAACAAATCAGTTGTAATTCAAAAAGATAACAGTGAACCTGTAATAAATACTATACTCTGATTAATAAGTGACACGCTGATGCACTATTTAGTGCAGTTTAATGAGTCTGATGGTGGATTATTCAGCCATGAAGTACAGTGCAGGAGTGTTTTGTTAGATTAGTCTTATTTTCTAGAGTATGCAAGACTTATCAACTGAAACATGCCAACATACATTTGAATTACATTCACATGCTTAGTTTGGAATTAAAGCAGATTTTTAGTAAGCCCAACCAACATACTCAGCAGAACATTTTACAGTTGGAAAATGAATATGTCTGTGCTCTCTAATGGACAAACTATGTAATGTTGTCAGTTTCAGTTCTTAATGACCTGCAACAAATCTTCAGCATTTCTGTAATGCAATTACTTGCTATTACCAATATACACCTGTGAAAAGCTCAAACTGACCACTTATATCGGCCGTGCTTATCGCTCTGACTCTTAGTTGTAGCCCTTAAATCAATCCACAGTTAACAACGCATACACAGAGCACAACCAATAATTATTTCAGATCTATTTTATGTATGTAGTGATGAAACAAGAAGTTGATGAATCAACAAAAAATGATTTCAGTTTTAACAACTGAATGATTACAATCATTTATCAACTCAAAATACCATTTGGTGGTTACAGCTTCAGAATTGCACGTATATACTTGGCTTTCTGATAAGAAATTGAATACTTCAATAGTTTTGTGGCTATTCATCACATACATTTAATTCTGTAATTAATTGTGTCATTTGTGTCATATGTGCTACACAGAGCCCATCATCCTTAAAATATGTGAGAGATGAACCCAATATTTAAACAATTTCTAGTTGCAGCCCTGTATAATGTCCAGAAAAGCTAATACAGCTCCAGAGGTACAGTGAGATCACTTGAAGCAGCACAGATATTTAACAAAGCTGGAAGTGATCCATTATAGACACGTGTGAAAAATAATTCATAAAGCAGCCTGGAGGAGACTCCCATTGACATTATGCTTGGTGGAGTCAGTGGCAAACTCAGCATAAAGTAGCATAACAAACTAACATGTCAACATGCAGTCTCTCTTTATTTCTTCCCCAGGATGAGCTTTGTCTTCAAAACTTTGGGTACGTGTCGTATGGTCAGTGACACTCTGGTGCCTCGGGTCAGCGTCTCCCCCGGCAGGGCCCCGGCAGCAGACAGGTTCACTACCTTGTCTGTCAGCGTGTCCTGGGCGCAGGGCTTGATGCCATGAAGGAGACGCTGGTACATTTCATCCTGCAGGATCAGAAGACTGCGCGGCTTCACCAGCAGAGAGAAGAGGAAGCGGTTCTCCTCTGTCTGCGGTGCATCGTCCTCCGGGCTGCCGACGGGCGTGTAGAAGTCAAGGAGGGTGTGAGAGCCCAGGCTGATGGTGGTGACAGTAGGGTGGTACAGAGGGCCGTCTTCGTGAGGCATAATCCCTTCTCCTTGTTTATACTCGTTCACCAACACATGATTGGCTGTTTTCCCGCTGAACGCACCTAGAGAGGAAATTTTCTCACAGTACACCTGGAGCCAGTCAGGCATCGTTTCTGCCAGCATGCCTTTGGGATGTGGTAACCCTCCCCAGTTCTGAAGCCTTCTGCCCGTAAGCTGGGTCCATTTAGTTTTTGGAGACTTATACACCTGCTCTTGGAGGTAGGACTCCTCATCTTCCGAAATGAAATCTGGGATGTAATACACTGTTGGCGGGGCATCATTTACGACAAACTGCTTCAATTCCTCCAAAATACAAGCTGGGTGTTCCATGCCTCCTTTAGAAAAGTCAACATGAAATGCTTGTTAAAACTCAACTCAAAAAAGTGCTAATGCTGGCTAACTCCCAGGGGGGCTAAAAGGGAGTAAAGTGTACCACAGACACTTTTGATAACTACTACAAAAAAATATTATTTAAATTAAAAAATGTTTTATTTAAATTTACAGGTTATGTAATTAGCAAACTTATAATAAAATATCACCTACAGTATCTCACAAAAGTGAGTACACCCCTCACATTTTTGTAAATATTTGATTATATCTTCATGTGACAACACTGTAGAAATGACACTTTGCTACAAGTAGTGAGCGTACAGCTTGTGTAACAGTGTAAATCTGCTGTCCCCTCAAAATAACACATCACACAGCCGTTAATGTCTAAACCGCTGGAAACAAAAGTAAGGACACCGCTAGGTCAAAATGTCCAAACTGGGCCTAATTAGCCATTTTCCCTCGCTGGTGTCATGTGACTCATTAATGTTACATGCTCTCAGGTGTGAATGGGAAGCAGGTGTGTTAAATTTATTGTTATCGCTCTCACACTCCCTCATACTAGTCACTCGAAGTTCAACATGGCACCTCATGGCAAAGAACTCTGAGGATCAACATCAGCGTTGTTATAACCACAAAGTCACAGCGAGCGTGCTCCTTCCCCCCCCCCTTTTTTTGTTTTCTAGTGTAGATGAAGACACTGGAAGTTGCATGCGAGGACAGGGGAAGTGAAGCTGCAGGCATGGAGGAGAGCTCTGACAGATGTGAGAGGCGCCACACTGATGATTAAAATACTACGTAGGCTATAATGTAACAGATCATGACATACACACCATTACAGTCGCTGTGTTATTTTCCTAATGACAGACAGTTAAATTTAAAATAATTGATTTTAGCATTGTAGAGTTTTGAATTTCATGTTTTTTTTACTGTTTGTTGACACTGAATGTACTGAGGCCACGCCCACCACCAACTCTGCTGTTCCGACTTTCCCCTGTTCTCATCCGGTCTCCCAACGACTGTATGATCTGTTATAGTTCACCGACACCTATGAAATGGGTACTAGTTTGTTTTTCTTTAGTTAAAAAGACAGTTTTCAACGAACTGTTGGTTCTTCGTGATGATTCTTACTAAGTTAATCCACGCTTAAGATACTGGGTGTTTCAGCAAAAGCAACTCCGCCAGCGTGCGGTTTCATCAGAAGTAGCTCCTGCATTTCTGCAACCCGTGAAAGCAGCACAGCACACATGCTCATTTAAAAAAATATAAACAACGCCACGACCTAAATAATCTTAAAAACTGCTATATTTTAATTCCGAAGTGACATAAAAACTGCTTTACCTCTTTCGACATCAAAACGCTGATGAAAGTAGAGTTTGATCAAAAAGCCCAGTTAGCTGCACTCGACTCCTCCTGTATGCCTGTGCAACTGACTAAAATGTCCCCTCTAAAAAGAAGTATGACGTTTTTGGACCCATAGCTTATTGCTTTTTTTTTTTTAAGTAAACCTATGACAGGTATAATAAGTTCAACCAAAATGTTCTGTCTCTTATGTAGTTTAAATCTGTGTACACTACGTTTTAAACGTTGTTTTCCATTTAACTAAGTTCACATGACAAAGGCCCAGATGAACATACAATAAAGAACAATCGAATAAAAACAGAGTGCAATGATTATTTATGTAATAATTATATTAAGACAAATATTGCATTCATTTTGCTGCTGATTTCCCCTCTAAACCAGACACGTAGGCCTACACCTTCACATCAAGCACAAAGACGTGAAAAATAGATTCATTCCTCATAAATGTGGATTTGTGGAAAAACAATTTCCCAACCACAATGAACAAGTTATTTATATTCTTCTGCCACTAAAAGTGATCCTGCGGCCTAGACTGAAAGTGCTACAGAGGTGAAACTGGTAGGGTAGGTTCAAACCCCTGTAAGTACCTCAAAAAAGAAATTGCGCACTTCTACCTCTAGGGGGCGCTATACGCAAGGTAACTGCATTTGGGCTTTGCACTGACGCTCACGAAAGCGCATATCAAAAACCTTACATCCAGCTGAATCTCGTGATATAGGCCACGCCCAGTTCTGCCTAGCCTTTTCTTTCAAAATCGAGGAAACTGCCAAACCTATTTTAATTAACTCCTCTGAAGCCGCAAGTCCGGTACCAAACTACGGATAATATCTAGACCAAGCTGATAAAAGTTTGTAGAGGAAATTTTGATCCGACAAAAAATTTCCCAATTATAAGCTAACAAATGTTTGCGAACACGCTGAAAACAGGAAGTGATGTCATATCTTGGGTGAAACTTGAGCCGAATTGTTCAGCATGGTCCCCTGACTCCAGGAACCAAAGTTGACCCTAATATGCCCATAGGTGGCGCTGTTATTGCGGATTAAAGATGTCAAAAAAATCCCATTGATTTACATGCATTTTATATCTCCATAACCACAACTCCGACTGACACCAAATTAGGTCACTTGTTTCCCTGAAAAAGTTGGTTCTTAAAGGTGGCGCTATAATCCAAGCTCAAGTACCGTGGGGAAATCCCATTCATTTCAATGGGGGGGGGGGGGGGGGTACTGCCGATTCGTATGGTATAGAACTTGCCTCTGTGTAATGACGGCTTCATTTCGCAAAATCGAGAAAACTGGTTTTGTTCATGAACTGGAATGACCGACAGTTTTATTTAAATACCTGCTACATCCGGTCTGGGACTTTCAGAATAAATCTTCTTTATAAAATCTACAGCCCCACTCCTATGAGCCATGGTGCCATTGACGGTATATCTCTACGTTAGTATCGAGCTCATTGACTGTCTGTTTGTCGTGTAGTTCATGGTCTTATGGTGTTGTGGTCTAGTCCCACGCTGCGGGCGGATCTTCTTGCCTCGACCTGATGCTGCTGGGGCTAAAATTATGGCTAAAATCCTGACAACGAATGCTTCCGGTTCACTTTATATGATAACAAAGATCATGGAAAATCACCCCAATTTTCGTAGGAATGGAAACTGAATGCTTCGTATTTTACTCTCTGTATGAGAATCTATAGTAAGGAAATAACACAAACGTCGCCTTTGAGGACAAAATTTTGTGGCAACACAAATAGTAACAACGGTTCTATTTCCGTTTTTAAAGCGTTGTTAAACATCGATAATAACAAAAGGCCCGTTTTTCATTTTCCGATGGCTGTACACGGATTCTCTTAGGTAGATACCCAGACCCTATCTGTACAAACTAGGTCACACACGTTTTATACAGTTGGTCCATAGACTGCTGGTCACAAACTTGCTGGTGGTGCACGGAGGTATTTACATGTTACGCAGCTACACGCCTTTGACAGGAAGAACACTAGAGCTTTCTGGCTGCAACTCTAATGGTTCTGTGTTCCTGGTTCGTTTCTCTGAAACCTAATGTGATGCTGTTGCCAAATTTATCGCCGTTTTTCATGTTTAGTGAGCTTAAAATACAATGGGAGCTGAGGTGAGGTCACCCTTAGCTATTAGACTATTTGAACTCACAGTTGGCTAACGTAAGGGTCATGACCATGTTCCCTACACAAGTAAAAGTCCTGCACAGGGTGCTACGTTTGAGACACACATTATGGGGCCCTCCTCCATTTGGAAAAGCACCTTGCTCCAGACTGGTTCTGGGCATTGAGACCAGCTGTGATGACACTGGAGCTGCTGTGCTGGACGACACGGGTGAAATACTGGGAGAGTCTCTACATTCACAGAAAGAAGTGCATCTCAGGTGAGTGTCAGAGCTGCACTCGATTACCACGGTCATTACTTTAGGGCTGTTGACTTATATCCTTCCCTCTACTGCAGGACTGGTGGCATCGTCCCCACAGTGGCACAACAGCTCCACAGAGAAAACATAGAGCGCGTGGTCCAGGAAGCTTTGGAGAGGAGCAACGTGGATCCAAGCCAGCTCTCAGCTGTGGCCACCACTGTGAAACCGGGTTTGGGCCTGAGCTTGGGCATCGGACTCGAGTTCAGTCTGAGGTTTGTGAGGCGGCACAACAAGCTCTTCATCCCCATCCACCACATGGAAGCCCACGCCCTGACCGTCAGGATGCTTCAACCTGTTGCCTTCCCCTTCCTGGTGCTGCTCGTTTCTGGGGGTCACTCGCTCCTCGCTGTGGCTCGAGGAGTGGACGACTTTCTGCTTTTGGGTCACACTCTAGATGAAGCTCCAGGGGATACACTGGACAAAGTAAGATCCTAACACGTGGCTGTTGTTACTGGTCACGATGTTCAGTTTGTGATTTCTAAACAAATAAAATAAATTTCTTTTTTGGTTTTACAGGTGGCAAGACGTCTGTCCCTCATAAAACACCGCCAGTGCTCCACACTAAGCGGAGGACAAGCTATAGAGCTTCTAGCAAAAGATGGCGACAGGACAAAGTTCCCATTCAGGACCCCTATGGGCCAAATATATGACTGCTGCTTTTCTTTCGCTGGGCTACGGAATCAAATTACATTGACGATAATGAAAAAAGAGGCAGAAGAAGGTACGAGGACACACAATGTCTCAGAAATGATTACTATACCCCGTGTTACCAGTGATCAGATTCATAGACCTTATGCTGCAGCAGATATTTTGACTTGTCCAATACAGGCGGAACCAACAGCATGACTTGCTGCATTACAATGTAGTAATGTCTGGAAACATTAATGTTATTAGTGCTTTTCCTGTTCCATAGATGAACAAAATACAAGATGAATAGAGGTTTGTCATTTTTATTAGTGTAAAATGTTATTTACATTTTTTATTTGTACTGCTGAAAAACACGCAGTTTTGATTTCGATCATGTTTATTCAATAAAACAGTACTTGGCTCCTTATGTTACTAGTTCCCCAGTGACCCCCAGTTGACAGAAACCGTTTAGTAACGTCATGTCTAGATAAATTAGATTAGCAACTCTTTTATTTATTTATTTTTTTCCCTCCCTCCATAGGTATAGAGCAGGGCACGCTGTTGTCGTGCGTGCATCACATTGCAGCAGCTACGCAGCACACAGTCGCCTCTCATCTTGCAAAGCGCACACATCGTGCCATCTTGTTCTGTAAGGCAAACGGTCTGCTGCCATCAAGCAGTCCCACCTTGGTGAGTGTGTTACCTCATTTTGTGTTTTATTTAAATCATCAACAGTGAACAGTGTTAGTGCCCAGCATTGCAGTTGGCACATAGGAGAAAAGGTGCTTCGAAATAAAGTTTTAACTCTCTTAATTAGAAGTTTGATTATTGAAATATTGACAGTTACTGGCCTTAGATCTTATTTATTGCATACTTACATTAATATCTTGTATGTGCAGAAATACTGAGAGATCCTGACATCTGACTATAAATTGCTTGTGATTATTTATTTTCAAAAGAGGAGCTCTTACAGGATACGGCCAGCAATATTCTGCATCTCTCATTGTCAATAATAATGTATTAATTTGCAGCTGAAAATAGTCCCCAACAAATACACCATTTACTCCTGTTTGAGTAACTAACCATAACCATTTGCTCAAATAGGCTTGGAGCCGTGTGCCACAGGCAGGGTAGGGTTGTGGGAAAGTACTGAAAGATGGACTAATGGATGACTAATGAAAAAAATCTAGAATAACATCAGCCACATCCTTTAAATCAGAGAACACTGTGAACATGGACTTGAAGATTTCACCATTAACTCTTCTTTCATAGGTGCTGTCTGGAGGAGTCGCAAGCAACCAGTATATCCGCAAGGCTTTGAGCATTATCACTGAGGCGACGGGGCTACGTCTGCTCTGTCCTCCAGCCAAATTCTGCACTGACAACGGAGTGATGATTGCATGGTGTGTATGCCGACGTTCAGTGAGTGAATCCAGTTAGATGCCCCAGTGTAGAGTCCATCTGAGACAAACATACTTTTTTATTTTTTAACCAGGAATGGTGTAGAACGCCTGAGAGAAGGGAAAGGGATACTGCCTCCGAATGTGGATGTCTACTATGAGCCAAAGTAAGTTTCAGCTGGTCTTAAAATTTCTATTCAAATTTCAGTGGAGAATAAATTGAGAGACCAAACCAAACTGTTCTGGTTTCATTTATCTGTACTGCAGGGCACCGCTGGGTGTTGACCTGACAGCAGAGGTGAAGGCAGCAGCTATCAGGTTGCCGTCAGTCAGGATGAAGATCCCCAACTGAAAGACTGGAAAGAAAACTCCTCAATTTTCCCAGTTCAAAGTATACTATGTATACTAGACGTGTATAAGCACATTAAATGGCTATTTATTAATAAATGTTTTTATACACCTCAGTTAAAATAAAGTTTAATATCCCTTAAAAAAAGTACCTGAAAATCCCAAATCCATTAAGTGAAATCTTTTTTAGTTTGTCATCATGAAGAATGAAAGTTGCAGACCAATGAGCTTGCGATCATAAATTATGGATGTCTGACTTTACTAAAAAAGGTGGTAAAAATCAAGCAGTTTTTGTGTTTAAATAGAACATACCACATTTCTGCTGAATAACATACACAGTATTTGATCAACCTGAGGATTGAAGTAACAACATGAGGGCCATCATTTTCAAACTTCAGAAGATGTGTCTTTAGTTTGATTGTACGCATGTCTATTTGATTATATGTTACACAGAAAGCCAGTTTCTACCACCTGAAAGCTATTTTCATGAAGGAGACAAGTGTTTGAAGGTGCCTTTGTCCAATCGGTCCTTTGTAACACAAGATGTGCGCTACCCACTTGTCATGATGTTGGGGCGGCTGTGGCTCAGGAGGTAGAGCGGGTTGGCCGTTAATCGGAAAGGTCTGCGGTTCAATCCCTGGCTCCCCCTGGTTGCGTGTCGAAGTGTCCTTGGGCAAGATACTGAACCCCGAATTGCCCCTGGCGGCTGTTCCGCCAGTGTATGAATGAGTGTGAATGTTAGTTTCCGTTTGAGCACTTAGGCTCAGTGTATGAATGTGTGTGACTGGTGAATGCAGATGTAGTGTAAAAGCGCTTTGAGTAGTCGAAAAGACTAGAAAGGCGCTATACAAGTACGGAGCATTTACATTTACATTCATGACAAGTAATACACCAGAGTACATTAGCTTTCTAGGATAAAAAAGTGGACTAATCCTGTCCAAGCCTTTACAGCAGATGCAGTTCACCTCTCACTGAGGCACAAGCCTCATGTTACCGACTAAGCACTACCCTCTAGTGGTTAATTTATGTATGTGCACCTCAACAGTGGGGAAAGGTAACTAATATAAGTACAAATTGGAGGCACTTGTATTTTCTTTAGTATTTCCACTCCGCTACTTTATACTTCTACTTCACTACATCTCAGAGGCCAATATTAAGTTTCAACCAAGACGAAAAATCAAACATGACAGTGGAGTTTTCCACACACACTGATTTATTTATTGCATTAGTAAAAACAATTGTTCAGCTGGATACAATGATAGTCATGAGTTTGACCACATAAAGACTTACACAAAACTTGTAAACATGTCTGACATACATGTGCATTTTATCATCAACCATGTTGAAACTTCTCTTCTCCAACACTGCCACATCTGATTTCTTGAAGGCTTTAGGTTTAAATTGGATTTAAGAAGAAAAGAATAGTGTTTGAAGTCACCTTTTCAATATGATGATGCAGATTAGAGGGCAGGATGTTCACAGGAAGGTTGAACAATTTAAGTTCCTTTCTCATTTCTGGTTAAACCTTTTAAAATCTCACATGTTACCTCTAAGCCCCTGATTCCACAGCATGGTGCAATCCTGTGGTTTCTTCTTTGTGCTGCAAATTGAATCAATGTTCACCAAAAGACAAAACTTAAGACACAAATAAAAAAATTCAAATGCTAAAATTGAGTGGTATTTGCGCAAAAATCAAAGGTTTTCACAGGCGTTGGAGATGTTCTTTCTTGCACAGTTTTAACTTTAAAAAACAAAACATGTAGATGCTAGTTTTCTGTCTGGGAAAGCTGTTTAAATACCTCAACACATCTATGTCCTGTCTGCATTTTAAAAAGGAAAAATCCACCCAGAATCTATTCATTTCATAGCAAAACCATTTCAAAAAGATTACCAATAACGATGTAAGGTTTTGGAGTCAGTGACTCAAAGAGCCAAGACTTCTCTCTATATTTGCACCATTGAACTGGTGCTGGAAAATCGTATGGGGTGAAACCAACCACAGAGAGGAAGACATACACTTTTCTACTTCCACAGTAGCTTTGTGCCAAGGGACTCTCAAAAGGCATTCTACGGAAAGTAGGAAACCACTAACTGAAGTAGAAGTGACAAGGCATGTTGGAGTAACATGAGTAGACCAGAAAAGTAAAGTTTCATCACAAAATAACACCCAGAAAGTACTGAAAATCCCCAGTGTATGTACATCTGATGGTGGATTTTCCCCTTACCTATTCATGGTTTCTTTCTAATTGATCAAAGTACAGAAACTAAAATAATTACCAAGATCAAACACTAGAGCTCATCATGTTCATAAATATTATACTCCTTTGCACTGATCAGTCCGTCTCTGTCTTGGTCATTCTTGCGGAATATGTCAGCCATAATCTTCTCATAGAAAGCGTCATCACGTGGCTTTCCACTTTTTTCGTAGTCCGCTTTCAAGTATTCCTTTACCTGAAAATAAAAGAAACACTTCTATTATTAACACTTCAGAATAAATAAGACATATATTGTACTTTTACAACACTCCTCCCACATAAGTAAATAATATAAGTAAAACAGTAAATGGTATTGATAGCAGGTCATTCACTTCTTCTTTCAATGTGCCATTAACAATCCAGATAACATCATGACTGCTGTAAGCCTGCTAGCACAGTCATTACATTCTTCACATTTAATTTTTGCCCTGAGGCTGGTTGGAAAGCCTGCTATTAAAAAAATAAGGCACTAACATTTTTTGTTTATTTGAAGGCACACTGTGACGGGAAACGCATTTTTAGGGAACAGTCTAAGCCAAGGCTGAACTGTCCCAAGGCCCCCGAGCCCCTGGTATGAATCAGTTTATGCTAATTTCATAGAATTTAATCAGTTTAAAAGAATTCCCTACTAAATGTATTAAAACGTTGGGAAATATGTTTATTTACTGAGAGAAATTGATACAACTCTCATCTCTTTTAAGTATGGAGCTGGAGCTAGGCGGCCTTTAGCTTACTTTAGCTTAGCCTAGCATAAAGACTGGAAGCAGTTTTAAAAGCTGTTTATTGGCTTAGCTAATCACTTCCCTTCTTTAGCTCACTGACATGTGAGTGACATCGATCTGCTCATCTATCCTATGGGGTAAAGCAAATAATTGTATTCCCCAAAATGTCAGTTTTGTCATTTAACCATGTGGCCCTGACAAAAAGGCAGCATTAAACTCTTGTTTTTAGAGCAGGATTATTTTCTTTTTGTTCTGTTTGCCAGGTAATACCCTTGCATGGAAAAACTGTACACACTGCACAGGAAGAGTAAAAAGTTTTGCCCCATGGCACCCTAGCATGTTCACCCAACCGTGCTTATTACCATAATAACAGCAACTCCAGCATTATTTTTTCTGTCTGAGCTACCTTTGTGATAATGACCACCTTGTAAATGATAGTTACCTCGGCCTTCGTGAGACTATTGTCTTTATCAAGGTCTATGTTTCTGAAAGCCTCCAT